ACAGTCACTATTATTTTATACAATATAGTCAATGGTTATTTTATACAATATAGTCAGCTGAATGCTTTTAAAGAGAAATTATGACAAAAAAGCCTGGTTTCCTTGAAAGATTATTGAGGTAAATTGGAAAGAATTTATTCACTTCTGTATGTCTTAAATTAATTGTAGTTAACCCTTCAAGAAGATTTTTAACAAAGATATACATCTAAAATTAAGTAACAGTCTAGAACAAACAGCAAGCAGGTGTTGTAATGAGGAGGTTGCACAGATTATTTGCTGAGCTGAAAAGGAACGATGAGAAGGAAGCATTACATGGACGAGTTTTACATAGAAAACTTTAAACCCATAAATCTTTACTAGAAAACCAAGAGGTGAAAATCAACACCTGTCAACAGTATTCTGAAAGGATTTGTACAATGAACAATATATTTTTCATGGAAAGAAACTTCATTTTCTCAGATGAAAATATTATGAATACATTAGAAATTAATTTAAACTGATGAACTAGCAAAATCTATGACAAGGTATTATAAAGAAATTAAAAAGATGGATAGGAGAGAGCATACCAAAGATAGCCAGGACCAGATAATTAATGAAAAATAGTCCATCAAGCAAAAAGGCAAAGACATATAAAGCTGAGGAAAGGTTATTGAGTTAACATTTCTTCAAAACAGTTATGCGAATTTTTTTGTTGATTGGTTGGTTTTAACCATCAATAACTTGATTTTGGATTCCTTACATACTTCATACCGATCAGCCTGAAGAAGACAGAGTGTATAGGGAGAAATGTTAAAGTGGAACAGGAAGATGGTGAACTAAGCATTGTGTAAGATATGTCACTCTTGTGTCTGTCATCTTCTTTAAGCATGGAAGACTCCAGTTCATGGAGGAAAAGAGTGACTAGCTGAATAACAAATATGCAAAAGCAATTAATTGTTGCTTACAAAACAATACAAAATTATCAATTGCACTTATCTATTATATAATTTTTTTAGGAATTTTCATCATGGTGTTTTAGCAGCACAATATTTGTAGAAAGAAATTTGCAAGTCTAATGTGGGAATGCTATAGAAACAAAGCTCTAGGTCTACATGCACAGTTATTCACAATAGTTGTTTTTGTTTTATCCAGGAACAGACATAATCTGTCAGAGAGCAATTCTGAGTCACAACAATTATATGCATATATGTCATATATGCAGCATCAAGAATCTTACTATAGAGAATGGTTTGGTGTTAACTTCTCAGAAAATAAAGACATATTAAAAATGCATACAAAAACATAAAACATCCACAGATTATGGGATTTATGTTAATTGATTTTAAAAGAGGGAAAACACAGGAAAAATGCATCATATATTTATGTTCATTATAAAATTATTTTGGATTTCCAGTCGTGTTAAGTGAAATAACTTGCAACATTGCAACCTTGATTAATCTTCATTTGTTTATTTTGCTTGGTTTACTTTGATTTTATTTGTAATGTATGTATTTCACATGATGACTCTGTATCATTCCAGGAACATGAATTTTACTGCTAACATTTCTCTATACATTCATATCCCTGACTTTAAAAAAAAAAAAATTGTATTTGAAGGGTTTATTTCTCTGTTGATGTCAGTCACTGAATCATGGAACAAAATGGAAAGAAGTTAACTAGAAGTACTTACCTTTAAGCATGGAAAATAATAAGGCAGCAAAACTTCTTGATTATTCTGTTATAATTTAATGGGATCCAGCCTATTTTAATTCTCAAGTAACTCATATTAAACAAATATTTTGTCCAAGCAACACAAATGGTTTCAATACAGTAGGTTATTCAGCTTTATGAGGATTGGAAAGAACTTGCAGCATCTTCATCACAGCTGGAAGTATGAAGGGAAAACTTTCTTTTGTGTTAGAATTGCTAGTGAGGAGAGTATGCAACCATGTCTTATCACTATATACCAACTGCAGGTACTTTAGAGACACTGTGGTAGATGATTTTCCCACTGCATGGTTTTTTTCAGTCTCCTGATAATTCTTTAATTTGAAAAGCAGATTCCTCTCCTGTGTTGTCTTCCAGACATCAAACAAAGCTTACATGTACAAGGTTTCAAGATGACAAAACTGTGGTTCAATTTTTCTACAGCTGACAGTAAAATATATTACTGTCATTCTTCCATCTGTCCACTATTCCAATATTCTCCTCCATCCTCCTACTGAACAGAACTGATCTAAATCATCCCTTTGAGATGTTTCTGCATTCATTTATTTTGACCCATCTGAGTCTTGGATATGATTAATAAATTCCTTTGGAAAAAATACTCTAAGGCAAAGGAAGAATACCGATTAAGAAATTAAAACAAGATAACATTGGAAAAAATGTGGAATAATATCCTATGCTACTGATAAGTCCAACCTGAAGGGTCAAAGAACTAGTAAGAGCTCTGGAAAATGTGCTAGTCTCTTATTTTTGAAGATTTTCTAAACCATAAAAATCTTGGAAAAAAAATAGAAGAAAAATTACCTAATCTAAGCATCCTTTATTCATCTTGCACTGTTTAGGATGTTCCAGATGAAAAAAGCATTCTTTCAGGGATTTGCAGGAGTTGATTTAACTTCAAGGTATGACTGAGAGAATTTCATTGCCTATCTTCCACCATTGCAATGCTGACTTTTATTACCAGCCTCATGGGAATACTTTTTAACAACACTTTTTCTCTATTTCAACTGCCTTTCTGCCTCACTTCTCCTGCTTTTTTATTGTCCCCATCTATCCAAGTTAGGCTATGAGCAACCACAAAAGTTTTTCTAGGAAAAAACCCCATGTATTTCTAGTACATGGATTCAACATCTGTTTGTTTGTTGCCATTGTCTGCAAATAGATTAATTTTACCAGGATCACTGAATTTCAGAGTTTTCTTGGTAAAATTTTGTAAACAATTGCAGAGTGAAATAGGAGTTTAAGACAGCTGAAAGGGGAGCAATATTGTGGGGGGTATTTCTTCCTGCTTTATTGCATTCTTTCTGTCATCTACTGCTGCTGTCATCTACTGCAGCATTTTCAAAAGAAAGGCCAAAAAAAAAAAAAAAAAAAAAAAAATCACCCAACACAGGCAGATAAAATTCAAAAGGACCACAGCATCTTAACATTTTCTTCATAAATTGTGTAAGGACAGAATCTTCTCAGAAATACAGCTCTTATTATAGAAACACCAAATAGAAAGGGTATGTACAGAAAAAGGTTAAAAAACCCTCATGGGCAAGATCCTAGCTACACAGGACATCAAATGGACCAAGCTCCATTTAAATAAGAATGGCTGAAATGGCACAATGCAATCCAACAGCCATGAATCTTACCCAATCACTTATGAATAAAAAATAATTTCCAAAATTCTCCAAAAGAAAGAAATTTTACAGACTGACATACCAATGACAAGCTTGAATTTTCTGGATATTGGAATGCCAGTACCTTTTCTATGACTTGAAATATTCTATGTAATGTTAAATTGCACCTCATTCATGCTGCTCTTGACATCATTCTGAAAAGAAAGGCACTCACAACAGAATTTAGGCTTTGAAGAAAGAAAGAAAATAGTGCAGTCAAAAGACTTTTCACTGCTGGAGACTGATCACAGTACTGTGAACTCCACTGACATAGTAGTTTACAGTAAATTTGGATGTATTTAACTATGTGAGAGAAAATTAAGACATATGAAAACACATATGGAGACTTGATCACTGTAATCAGGATTTTATTTGAATTACTTTCCTGGTGGTTTCAGATAGGTTAAACCACAGCTGCAGAAAATTTAATGTCTTTTGTGTGAAATGAGTCTAGATGACTGATTCAAATGACAAAAGATCATTCCACAAGTAAGAATCGTTCCTTAATTTTAAGGATGTAAAGGAAAAGCAAGTTTTGAGATTTAACAATAAATAATCAGAAATTTAATCAGATAAGGAGCCAGCTACTCTGCATGCTTGTCATACTTAATTTTAATTATATCTTATCTGTTTTTCATATGGATAATATATACAAGGATCAATTTTTTCCTGAAGAACTGCATTCCTTCTCAGCAGTTCAGGATTAGGGACTGTTACAAAATCTTTTTGTTCCTTCATCAGTCTAAAGAGACAAATAGAAGGGTTCTAATTAAGTACCTTGTTAGAACCCAGAAACCTGTTTAGAATCCCAGAGATTTGGAAATTTAGATGAGCTGATTAACCACCTGAGATAGGACTGCTGCTCCTTGCAAGTGATGTTAATACAATGCTGTGATCCAGTGTTCTCAGTGTTTCCAGTGTCTTTAGGATGTACACAGGGCACTGCAAACCTGAGCACACCAAATCAAGTCTGTCTTTGTGTTAAACTGAGTAAATATATTTTTAATTGGAAAAGGCCTATAGTCTCAATGCATACACTCCCATAACATTCATCCAGTTCACTTGAGAGAGTATGGATCTAGATTTACTAGCCAGCAGAAAATGATAATCTGCTGTTTAATTTTGAGAATTCAAGACTATTACAAACTTCTTTTCACTTTTATACTGTCTTCAAACTCTTCCAATGTCAACAAGGACAATCCCAATTCACAATTAACAATATAAGAATAAAATATCTCTTCTTTGAATACAGAAGCACTACGTAACACATATCATATTTACCTTATGTGAGAAGAAAATTAGTTTTCTGGAAGAAAATGTTCAAGTTGGACTAAATACAGTCCTGAGAGTTTTCCAGTGGTAAAGTGTCTTAATTTCCAGTTTTTAATAATCAAGGTGAACTTGCAAATGATAACTTTCAATTTTCACTCTGTCATAACATGCTCATTGACTGGTATTACACAGTCATTGGCAGAAGAATATTGATGTGATGATGAAGCTTTCAGAAGTCTTCAGCCTATTAAAGGTACTCAGATGCTTAGTCATGGAGGACATGACTATTACTAAACATACAAATAATTCAAAATCTTGTTATACTTATTTTACAGATTAAATTATTTAAATTGTACTTACCCCTGTTCTTTGAACTTCCAAGAAAATTGCTCTTTGGAATGATTTCTCCCACACTGCCAATTCACTGCCCAGCTCTACGTTGAAATAGTGGCTCTTGCCATGTCCAACCATAACACTGAAACAATACGGCCTCTGGTCTTCAAGATCAAAGTCCTGGTGAATACCTAAATACAAGTTTGCTTGTAGCCAGCAATCATCAGCAAGCCAGAGCTGAAAGATATGTTTCAGTATGTGATTCTTCATCTGGCAAAACCAAATAATTGAAGCAACACTATCTTCAGTAAGTGATAGGTACTTGGCTATACTATGCCATTATGTCAACAACTGTGTTGAAGAAATATTCTAGGAGTTAAATAATTATGTCAAAGACAGCTTCTCTCTTTGATTCTTATTCATTTTGTCCCCTATCATTTAATCCAAGCTACTACTGCAGTTCCAAAACACTATCAAAATTACCTAAGCAATACATATATAATTTGAAGTGGGTTTGAACAAATATATTGTTTACAGTGGAAAAAGAAGGAAATCTGTGAATGTTTCAAGACATTCCAGAAGCGGTGTACCAGCTGTAAAGGAGACTATATTTACTCCGTTCTACTTGGGTTCCAATATGCTAAAGCCCAAGGAATGCAGTAATTTATCAAGATCCCCAGGGCTAATTCTGGAAATGACAACAAGAGCATTTCCTCTTACAGCTGTCAATGCTGTTCTGTAACTACAAGGAGACTGACACAAGATCCTGCCATCACCTTCAAGATAAAGAGAAACTGTACATTAAACTTGCATAATAAAAAATATACCTGCAATAGAATGTTTTGTAAGCTTAAAAAAATTAATACAAGAAACTTCCCCAATATTTCAAGACTTCATTGATTAACATAGAGGAAAAGAAAACTAAATTAAAAAGCTGCAACTTACACATCTAAGTACTTTCACAGCTTGAATTTACAAATCACACATATTTTTATTTTTCTGTTTATCAGGTAGAACCCTTCCCTATCCCCATTTCTCTGTGATATCATGGGGCAGAAAAGACTGAAACCCCAAAATAATTAGCAATGATTCATGGGGCATCTCAGGAGCAGCACGTATTGCCACCATGGTTCAAAGCACTGTGTTGTCAAAATTGGCCCTGCAATTACGTGAGGAGAGAACAGACTTTATGAAGCTCAGTTATTTTACAACACTCCTTTGCACTATTGAAAAGGAAGCTGAACAAAATTTCTGCATATATTTTGGTGTTCAGCAGCTATGGAGTGACAGGTATTAAATCTGTTTCAAGACTCAGTGCTGCATATCCTGGCTTGCAGACTGCTATTTTAACAATTTTTTTTTTTAATTTTGCATGTGAAAATACCAGACAATAAAAGAAAATAAATGTTTTTATGACAAATTACTTAAAAATGTACAGGACTACAGTAAGAGTTTGAATTATGAGGCAAGCTGTAAGAATAAACACAGGTGATGCAAGACATTACATTTCAAATCATCTGGCTCTTACCACCAAATGAACAGAAATATGCAAGGATATATCATATATATGAATTTTAATTCACATATTTGTGTATTTATATGTATGTATGCATACACCCAAATCTAAAATATATCAAAAATTCTGTTTTAAAATTTAAGTTCCACATTGGATTGCTATTTTCCATGTTTAACTCTTGCACCATAATAAACATAGATGAGAAGCTTACAATTAGGTGTGTAACCAGAGCTCTTCTCCTTAAAATCCATCTTTCATGAGAAGACACAATAACACACTCTCCTAGGGTTTTGCACTAATGCTAACCAGCTTCTGAAAATCCTTAAGAACCCCCTCCCTAAATGGCAGTCTTTACAACATAACTCTATAATATCTAATGCAGAAACCTTAATCTCTTACAATTTTTTGGATTTGTTCTGTTTGCTTCATTGTCATTTATACCAAAGAATCAACGGAAAAGAGGTTAAGGAGTTCAGTTTGAGCTTTTGTACTTTACCTTATGTATTCATGAAGACTGGCAATTAAGCATTCATTTATTAAAATGTCAAGAACATTAAAGAGTTGAATCTTGGGTACTTTATTTCCCAGCTTCTTTTTTTTTTTTTAATGAAAAAGTACTGCAGAAGTTGCAGAAGGACAGAATATCCTTGAAATTACCATAATATTCCAGGAAGAACCGAGTTTTTGCAGTAATACTTATAGGAGAAAAAACAAAATCAAAACCCAAGATTTATTTATGAGCCAAAAGTAAAATTATAAAAAAATAATGAAGGAGACTAAATAAATGATCTGTGACAGAACATCTACTTTTTGTTTGTATGCTAGTGATGGGCAGGTCCTGAATTTGCCCATATGTTCCCAGCTGGAGACATGGTCACACAAAAATAATGTTATGACTACAAGAATATGATTCTCCTCCTGTGCCTCTGGAGATGAGCTCTAGTCCTGAACTCCAGGACTACTGTTTTCCTGGCATGGCAGTGCTAAAACACTTCCTTCACATGTCCTGAATAACCTGCATCAGAGAAAACCCCAACAAATAAAAAACCCTTACAACAGAAAAAAACCTAAACACCCCAAACCAAACCACCCCCACCAATACCAAATCAAAAATCTTAAGCACTTTTGCTTCAGTGCAGGATCTGTTACAGGTAACAACCTGCCTTTTCCACAACATAAGTGTAGTCAAAGGGGAAACAGCAGAAAAGGGCAGCAGCTGGTGAGAACTAAAGATAAGCTTTAATTTTTCACTGAAATAGTATTTTATCTGAAAAGATGGATTTTTTTTTTCTGAAAATATTCTTTAATCTCTGTTGCTGCAGGCCCCCAGCCAGGTAATAATTAGCATTGACTCCACGATTACAGAAGGCTGATCAATCCCTTTATTCTATTAAACTGTACTATACTATATTTATTAAGAAACTCATCACCCTTACAGGCAGCCCGATACAGCATTGATCTAATTGGTAAATCAATCAAAACACCATCACCAGTGTCCAATTAAGAAATCACCCTTTGGTAAACAAATCTCCATAACACATTCCACAGGTGCACAACAACAGATGCAGCAAGTGTAGATAAGAATTGTTTCTCAATCTTTTCGCACAGTCTTCCCCAGGAAAATGCCTGGGAAAGTCATGCCTGCTGCTCTTGATGGAGAGAGCTGTGGCTACAACTCTCCTTAACAAATAGCCTCTCATAGTAGCCTTATCTCACCTGCAAAGGTTTTGTTTTTGTTGGAGAATAAAATTAATCTATTTGATGCAATTTATTAGACAATTTATTCTATAAGTCAATAATTTACACAAAGTGCTAATATTTTGCCCCAGATCTTTGACTGGGACAAGCTAGACAGAAAACATGACTTTGCCTAGTTGGGGGAAGAAAATCAATTCTATGGGACACAAACCAAACACGTTATAACAAACAGAGCCTTTTATAAGGAAAAACACACTACAATACTTGATAAAACAATCAATCAATATGATACAACAAGGACATAATTTTATATTTTTAATTGCTAAAATAAAAATATCTTTGCATGGATCAAGAATTACAGCAAGAACATTTTTCATCACATTAGCTTGAAAATCTGACCCACTAAGAAAAAGCTAATATCATGCTCAGCAGTATGTCTCACTGATACTTCATACAGCTCTAACACTAAAAACTTTCTTCAATAAGAAAGCATTGTAACACAATGTTAGTAACTTGCTCACTTGGAGCTTAACCTATTTTCCATATTTTCTTATATTTGCATAGCTAATGCACTAGCAATTGCAAAAAGCTTTTTATAACAACAGATGAACTATTTGAATACTAGTTATTCCTAGTTAAGATTAATTTGAGCTTATCATCAACAGGAAAAGGTAAATTTTCTTTACTATATAAAATCACTGGAACCGTTGGGAAACCTACCTTGTGAATTTTAAATAGAACCTCACAGAGGTTATAGATTTTTTCAGCTCGTACCCAGTCTAGTGTGCTTACCTATAATATATATAAAAAAAATAATTATCAGCACATTTTTTATTTGAAAATCATTTTCAGATGAAAAAAACCTGAAAAGGTTTCACCCATCATTATTCTACTGGATCCTTTAAATACAGGCACATCACTATATTTAATATCCAGTATTTAGAAAAGACTGTTGAATAGTATTAAATTTTTACAGAAACAGGAATTAAAAGGTGTTAAATAATTTCATTTTTTCATTTCCTAGTATGATGGAAATGTCTTTCTAATCTCTGTCATTAGTTACATAAGCATTTTTATTTCTTAAGATGCTAACACAGAGAACTCAGTCTCAAACACAGAGTCATTCACCTTCATGTCTCAATCTGAAAAAAAACTTACAATCAATAGATCAAGATGTAGTCCTAAATTCAGTTTTGAGTTTACATGCACTAGGGAGGAAATAACCCAATATTAAGTCTAAAACTGGAAAAGGACTATGTGACTGCAATATTTATAATCAAGAAAAATATCAGCTGTGTGCTCAATAATATGAAAACACCTATATTTTGTTTTCTTTTGATTTCAATACCTAATCCTGTTGACATGACAGGCTGTTAAAATCTGAAGAGGAAGAATGATGTTTGAAGCTTTTACTAAAATTCTACTTAATGATATGATGCGATAATCTGTTTTCTTTTGAAAACAGTACCCAGCCTACATAGTTCAAGAAAAAAACAAAACAAAACAAAAAAAAACCCAACAAAAAAATACAAAAACAAACCAAAAAAAAAAACCCAAAACAAACAAACAAACAAAAAAACCACCTCACACACAAGAAAAATTCAATATATGGAAATAAGTATTTTGGTACCACTTGGATAATGTAAAATTCTAGGGCTTATACAGCTTTGGCCTATTTCCACACACCACCCAAAAGGAAGAAAGCAGAAAAAATAAATTAAAACTATTAACATAAAGAAAAACTTGTTTGTAAAACATGTGGTTATGCAGATCAAACTTAACTAGAAAAAACTATGAAATTCACTCACAGATTTTTTTTTTCCTCTGTGTTCACAGTAGCACATAATTCACCTTTTAAAAATGTAGTATTGCTTTTCATGATTTGCATGGAGATATCAACATGTTTTGGTTCTTTTAAAATTAATTTTAAAGTTTAATTTTCAAGTCTCTTCAAATTCTAAGCTGTTAAACAGAATTGTAATAACTTGGTGAGAATCCAAACCACTGCAACACTTACAGGCCTCTAAGGGGACTTCTGTTAGTTATAAAATGTTACTTCAGAGTCCTTTGGAGGAGTAATGTCAACTTGGTGTTAGTTTATTTCTAGTCTTAACAATCTGAATTAATTCTTAATAATCTAATCTTCTTCTAATTTCTTTTAGGTTTAGATTAGGGTTTTTTTTAGATTAATAAATTTAGATATAAATCACCTACTGAAATGGGATTGAAGAACTACATCTTTTCAGGATATAGAGGGACTCACATTCTAGGATTCTCCATTTCATTTTCTATATCTTAACAATCAAATGGCAAACATCACTTGAATACAACACATAACAGATTATGCACTTTGTTTTACTATAAGCAATGTCTCAAAAATTAAAGCTCAAAACTTTGCATACAGGTAATTTTAAAATGACATGATAAAAGCACATAGTACTACCTAAACTTTTTCAAATTTAAACTTAATGTCAGCTGGTTCAGAAAAGGAATTTAAAACAATTTTAGGTACTAACTTATCCTCCCATCACTTTATAAAAAGGTAGCAATTTTTAAAGACATACCTTTCTATTTTTTAGGTTTCCATTTCTATTTATCTTCTTGTAAGTCCATTCTATATTTTATATGAGTTTTTCAAATTAATTATTGTACAAATAAGACATAACCTACGTTTTTAAACCACTGAAACAGAGGTCTTATAAAGCTAATTCATAAAGAAATGTACATTTAAACAGGCTCACAATAGAGTAAGCACTGCAGGTCTTTGCTTAATCCTATGTCCAGGGAAATATTTTGTACTTTGATGGCTTTTTTGAAAAGAAAATAATTAAATAATACATTTTTTCCCCATTACTGTTGATCCTCCAAAGGGATATTCATGCTTCTTGCAAAACAAGGTTTAGAGTAGAATGGAGGCTAGTCCATTATTTGGTCTTGAATATCTCAAAGGGAAAGGATCTTTTCCATCTCAATTAGCAGCAGGAGAACCCTTTATTTCTGTAAGTGGCTAGACAAGGAAGCATAAGCACTGATTCATTTGCCGTTTATGCAACTGGCTTTGGTGACGTGGGCTATGACCTGAAAGCTGTTGAGATATGAATGGACTTTCATTTGCTCATATCATTTGTTTTGATTTCTGAAGATTAATTTTAACTGTTGGGGATCTTTGCACTATTAATGATGGATGAAGGTGACACTGCTGTGCCATTAAATTCTCTCTGAGTACTTCAGACTTCTTCCCATTGTTCCACGCATCTCTTTCATCTTTTGATGCTGTGTAACCTCATATGACTTTTTCAGCAGAGGCAGACAGTGATAGTGACAACTGCTGGCACCTATATAAGCCAAGGATTTCTTTACCTGTCTATGTCAGAGAAAGGCTACCACACTTAGAGAGTGAAACAGTCTGAATACTACTGTGTGCAAGGTGCTCAGAACACAAATGACATATTGAGAGGAATTTTAAGGAGGCAAAATAAACCTATTACAAAGGAATACTAGAATCTAAACAGACAGCTGACATTATTTCTAGTTTTATCAGATCTATCATTGTATATCTAAGTTTAAAATGTTACTGTGATAGACTGCTTTACTTTTAAAACCCCACAAATAACCATATACACCTAGTCAAGAGGAAAAGCTGGAAATAATCATGAAAGTTCATGAAAATTGCAATATCCTTCATTTGATTTAAAGAATGTTCCAGTTTATTGCAGGTTATCCATCATCACACATGTAATAACTGGGTAATAAGTACCTAAGATAAATGAGACACCCAAGTATATTTCTTAGACAATACAGTAGTTTTTCTCATTATTTCCCCTTAGAGTTGTTCCTGCAGGTATTCTATACATTGCAATTTCTTGGCATGACAGCGTTATTATTTTTCATGAAGGATTTGACAAAACATTTCAAACAGCTCTATTCAGAATAAATGACTCAATGAGACATGCTTACATTCATATAAATTTAGTTCAGACAGTTTCAGAAAGAGTGTCAAAATACATGAGAGTTTCAATTAGCATTAAGTAAGCCTCTACTTTAATTTGTGTTTGTCTACTATATGAATTTATTCCCAAGAGGAGCTGAATGTTGTCATTCATATTATTGGCAGACCACCTCCTTAGCTAACCCACTGCAGTATGTGTTGAATACTTGGTTCTGTAGACATTTAGCTATGTTAATCCTTTCAGGAACATTGCAAAATTAAGACATTTGTAAACTCACAGGTAACACTGAGCTGATCAGAAAGATAATAAAACCAAACAGGGTTATGAAAAATAGTAGTCTGAAATTACAATTCTAAGTCTCCAATGAGAGACTAAAATAGGTACAGAGAGTTACAAAAGTCCCAAGTGTTGCAGAAGTACTTTTAACTTTAGCATGATTTCTGCAATTTCCTCATGGTTTAAAAACAGGCATTACAGTGGAGTTCTGAAAATAAACAAAAAATAAACAAAAAGCTGATAAAAATCTAGCTTTACATAGATCAGGTGATCTCATTATCAGTTCAAACTCATATTCCAAATATACTTGACTTTAAATATGTGAGTTAATCATTGGCTTTTCTTTAAAAAGTTATGATTTAAAATAGAGAGAAAACAATGAAGTTAAACTCATTTTGACACACTCATGCAGTAAACAATTAGCTCACAAAGTTACTCCCTAAAAGAGAACTCTGCAATTATAAAATAGGTGTTGGGGTTCTGGATGCTGCGAATTTTAGGATTTCTGTGCTGACAGACTCTGACTCCCAGGAGAGCAGTGCATTTCACCTGAGGCAGTGGAGAAGGCTTCCAAAATTGATTGATATCGCTGGGATTACGGGTGTGTAGTTTGATTAGAAGTGTGCAATATCACAGGGTGGAAAACTTAGAGCTTAAGGTTTTAGAATATAGTAATATATATGGAGAAAGATGGAGGTTTTAGAGCAGAGGCTTGTCCTCCTTCTTTACTATCTTCCTCCTTCTGCATGGGTTTGGGTGGTATTTTGTAATTGGACAGAAAAGTCTGCATTGTGGACTTTGAGTGATTGGTTATTGGGTTAAAAGTGAAGATAATTTAGGTGTCATTTCTTTAATTGGATAGGTTAGCCTTAAAAGACCTTGCAACAAAAGACAGTTAGCCATTTCACACCTAGTTAGTGAAATACTGCAGAACTCCCTGCCTGTGAGGCTGTAAAACAGATAAGAAAAAATAAACACCTAAGTCTGAACACAAAATACTGTCTTGAGTGCCTTCAATCCCAGTCTCAACAGAGGTAGAGAAAAGAAGCCAAGAACCAGCAATAGGCATAAAAGACTTTCATGCCTGCTCAGAGATCACCACTAAATAAAGAAATATGAGGTGAATGTAAAAGAGAATCATACTTCAAAAATCACTGAAATCAAATCAACATAACATACTCTTGGACTTTCTCTGAATACAGAATCTAATTCTAGAAGTCTACAGAGCCTCCCAAAATATTAAAAATATTTGCGTAAATGTAAAGGAAAAAATTAAAGTGCCGATAGTATTTATTACTGGAATACAGCAAATGCTGCATTATCTGAGAATTAAACAGAAGTATCCAACACACCTAGAAGTACTAAAAAGGTCTAAGGAGAAGATGAAATACTTCTAGGTAAAGAGTATTTAATTTCACTAGTCTCTTCACTCCTTAATGGAAAAAACAAACCCATATTTTTATTTTTAAATATTTTTTTAATATTATTTTTAGCATTTAGAACTTACATGGCAGCTTTAAAAACACTGCTTGTCTTAATTACATTGTGCGAGCTTCTCTATAGTGTCAAATGTGGAACTATTTCTGTTACTTTCACAATATTCTCCTATTTATTCTTTTCTTAAAATTATAAACAGCCCACGCAGTGATTGTCTAGCTGTCTTCATGTTAAATCACTTCAGTGCTATTTATTTAATCACATTGAAAAAGATAGTTTTGCAATTAAGGGTTACACAACAGATCTAAGGTTATGGCTACTTGAATACTTTAATGTAAAAAACATAATGAACTATAAGGGAAATATAAAAAAAATCAAACAGTAGAAATCCCTCCATCTAGCCCATATTACATAAAAACATTAAATTATTTTCTGGAACTTTTCAAAGGTATAAAAATTAGTTTGATTTTCAATGATAATATAGAATATTTTTTTCCTCAGTTTCTTCTGGGATATGAATTTAGAACTTTTCCAATATCTGAAAACTGACAGAAATTTTATAGATGTTTTTAGAATGTAATAAAATGCTTATATATTAAAACTGACACAAGAATAATTTCTATTGGTTCAGTGATGTTTTTCAGATATCCAGTTTTTAGAAATGGGTCACACTTCTAATAAACCAGTGTGTAAAGGAAATCTGTAAATTTCTTAAATACATTCAGATAAGCCCCTTCAGGGATGCAAAAAGACCCTTCTCTGTTAATCACACGTTTTTTGATATTTACTTCTGTGGTGAAGCCTCTATATTTCTGGAATCACCATCTGAGACCACATGAATTGTAGAAATAAGGTATAAATAGAATATTACTTGCCATAGTGATTTATTTCATAGTATAATATTCACTTTTTCCCACAATTTTCTTTATTTTTGCTCATATATAACTATGTTTTCCATTCTTATGAAAATTAGCAGCTGTATGTACGGTCACATTATCTTTTACACACAATGAAATAGAAAAAGAGTGGAAATGGTACTACATCCTTTTACAAACAGTTGTAAAATTATGGAAAAAGATAAGTGTAGAATTTATAGGTCATCTGCTCTGTGCACGCTATACTGACACACTGATTTACAACATTGATTCAGGATACAAATAGCAAAAGCAACGCCTCTGAAATAAAACATGTTAAACTTGTCTCTTCTAAAGCAAGTTGAAATGTTTGTATTTTTGTGATTGAACAATCTTTTTTTTTTTTTTTTTTTTTCCCCCTGCTTAAAATAGTAAAAAAAACCAAACCTCCATAGAAGCAATGGTAAGAGCAGTAGCATCAAATATCTCTAAAAGCAGTGAAAGAGCTGTACGCACAGTTTTGTGGAGGGACCTGTGTTTCCAGCTACAGAGCTGGGACGTGTGGCACAGAACCAGTGCCACGGGAACTGTCTGGGGTCTGCCAGGGCAGGATCGCTGCCAAACAGGTCCCCAGTCATGGCCCCACAGTGGACTGACCTTGTCACACAGCCAAACACCCACAGAGCCCCTCACTAACTCCTCATCCCCCTGCTATGGGATGGGAGAGACAATAAGAGCAAAACTGAGAAAATGCATGGTGGTGGAATGGGGAAGAAATCAATTCATGCGAAGGCAATTGCACACTGCTCACCCCACGCAGACCAATCCCCAGCCATTCTCCAAGCAATGGCTACTTTTGAAGACCAAATCCTCATTTTTTATTGCTGAGCATGATGTTTCATGGTACGTGAAATCCCTTTTGCTCTATTTAAATCAGCTGTCCTAGCTGTGTCCCCCGCAGCCTGTCCCAGCCTGTCCCAGCCCCAGGTAGTTCGTTCTGGGTGAGCGATGAGGACGGAAAGGCTGCACCAGCCCTGCCCAGCATCAGCCCAAACTCGGCTGTGTCAGCTCTGCTTTAGCCCCAGGTGAGAAACCATGGCCGCTCTGAAGTGGTGCCCTCCATCCCAACAAGGCCCAGCCAGGAGCAGGGAAGCCATGGGGACCGGGCAGCCCCAGCTCGGGGCAGCAGCCATCCTCTGGAAGCAGGGACAGGCTGAGGCTGGGCCGGCATGTGGGCCTGGGTGGCCCTGCCTTGTGGGACCAGGCTGGGCAGGGCAGGGCAGAGCCCGAGACTGGCCCTGCTGCACTCAGGGCTGCACTGGGATCGTGGAGTGAGCCACAGGGAAGGGCATCAACAAAAGCCAGGGCTGGAGGTGCCCTCAGGAAAATTATAATCAAAGTGTGGTTTTAGATCCAGGTTTGAAGTCTCCAGATAGGAGGTTGCTGGAAACTATTAATTTGGTCTTTTCTTTCTGGGGGTTTTTCCCTTGATGAGAGACATCTGGGGAATGTTAAAAGAGCAAGAAAACCAATCAACAAGTTTTATGATTTATACGGTCTTTCACATTTACTGGTGCATCATAGTGTTGAGGTGGCACAACACATTGATCAAAGGGTTCCCCTTTGTTCATTTCTTGAAAGCCAAGGCTCCTACTAAAAAATTGTAAAAAGATAATAGATTCTGTCAGATAATTTCTACTACTAGTCATCCCCACTTGTCTGTTCTTAGTAGAGTGCTGAAAATGGTAAATGAAGAAGTTTATCCCAAATTAGTATCATATAGATGTACAATTTAATTATGTCAAAAATGTGTCTTAGAAACAGATCTGAAGACAATAATTAAAATTTAAAGAGGAAAATAATTTATGTGGTGTGTTATTTATTTGTTTAATATTTCTGGATGGTTTTCAAATTTTAATTAAATATTAGAAATTTAATCAAATTTTAGTTCCTTGGCTTAACATATGAAACACCAATTTTTAGTGGGGGAATCCCCCTGCTTTTGCCAGATATATTGTCTCACTTTAAAAAGAATGCTATTAGCCATTTTAGCATGATTGAAATTAATTGGAATCATTGGATTAATAATTTCCATTTAGAGAGGGGCAAATTTTACTTATTGCATTTCATTGAATTCACAAATAACTTCTGAAAAGTAAGTATTTCCCAACAGTACTGCAGAGAGTACACATATAAAGAATCAGATTTTCTTTGGACCAGCAGACAAACTTGGGAGACTGAGCAAAACTGTAAGCATGTTGTATAATTTAAATTTCATGCTAAGTCCACTTTTTATTCTTTTATGATTTGTTTAAGGCAAAGGTTTTCTGGAGAAAAAAGAAAGGATTAAATATTACCATGTGGTAAGTATGGGTAATTTCAAAAACAGTTTAGAATTCTACAGCTCATTTCTATTTCACCCTTCTAAATTAATTTTTAAAAAAATATTAGATAAGGTACCTATTGTGAAACAGAATTCTTGTTACAAGGCATATAAATTATCAAAGCAAGACTTGTCCAAACTGTACACTTAGCACTTTGATCCCTTGCTTGTGTGAAAAGTCCACAACTATCATCCAATAGTATGGATGGTTTATTTAATGATGCATCATGTCTTTCAGAAAGCAGAGTAACTACCAATTCATTACATCTACAAAATACCTTAAAATAAATAAGGGAAGAAATATTAGGCCTAACCAACCAAAATAAAACCTGACTTTGAGAACTTCAAAAACAAAACATACAACAAGGTTTTCAGAGGACCTTGAAAGAGGCTGAATATCTACAGTTTATTGAAATTCAGTGGCATCTGTGACTTTAACTTACATTGAAACCTCAGCTGAAAACTCCACTTGATAAAGGAAAACAAACCCAGATGTAACAAACAGGTTTCCATTTACAATGAAGCTGACACAAAAATATCATTTTTTTTTTTACCGGTGGAGTGCTGAAAATGTAGAAGGATGAACCCTTCAGGGCCAGAAACTTGAACTTGTAGAGCTGAGATGAATCAGTTCCTTCAAGTCTCTCATTTACCCATCCCATATGTATGACCTGTAAAAGAAAATTGAAAATTGAAAATTAAAGTTCTCTTTCTCAGTGGATCATGAGTGGTTTTAGTAGCATGGGATGCATCATCTACTTCACATTTGCCTTGCAACCATTTCCATATTCTTGAAGCATACAATATAATGCCAGTGTGTCAGAAGTCCTTGAAGAGACAGACTTGTAGTACTGGCACTCTGAAACTTATCTGAAATAATCCCAGTTTTAAAAGCCACCTATGCAGGTCAAAGCAGATTCTCATTTGAGAAAGCAGAAAATCCACATGTACCAGAGTAGTTCCACAGTTTATAAAAACCATAATACCTTATCTATAGCAGTGTCAGAACTTGGACATACTGATATTTCCATTACACATACCTCTAAAGAAATACCTCTAAACAAATCACTATCTGAAATCAATCAGCTTTCACCAGGCTCATGTTTGCAGCTGTTAAAGTCTTTGTCACACTTGTTGTCTTTCAGAGTTTATACATTTTAATATATGCTTTATCACATTTACGTTTTCAAAGAATTAGATAACAAATCCAGCAGTTACCCAGCGTTAGCAGTGTTGCAATGCATGCCTTTATTTTCCAGATAAATTAATGCTAAGAAGAAATTAAATGAAGAAGTAAAATTGCATGCTTCCTTCCTGAGGTAAATACAAATTTATAAACGAATGCCATAAATAAGAATGCCATAGTGTGGTAGCAGACTATCATGAACGTCCTTACTAAAAAATAACAAAGCAAAAACATTCCAGGCTCCATTTTGCATACATTAAGAGGAATATATTGCTCTTGAAACAGGTACTTAAATCTAGAGTGAATCACCAATCTGAGTGTACAAGTATTGCTGAGTAGCTTGCTTATTTTCAACTAAGGCTACACTTACAGACAATAATGAGTTATAGAGGGAAGAAATGTCAAAGCCCTCGCTAACAGTATGAATGAATTTTCATACCTATGTTATGAAGACCTCACAAATTGTTTTCTAATGTTGGCATTTAATGTATCAATTATGTCTTTTGTCAATCAATTTATCAATAAATTAATAATAAATCAATATGTTGAACCAGACAATCCTTCTCCATACTGTTCTTCTGAGCTCCAGCACTAACATTTTAAGGAGATCTAAGAAACAGCAAAATAAATACAGTAGACCTTCCAGTTTTTGATTTGCTGTTCTGTAAATTGAATAACTCTGACCAAAACATTGTTTCTATAGTAGTCAGCAAAAGTGTTGAAGCAGGATGTTCAGACATCACATTACTTAAAAAAATACTATATTATTATACTATATTATTGTTGTTACTCTACTGATATTATATATTATCAGTTATTAATATCAAATAACAGACAAAAATAATTATATCCAATATAATTTAGGGTTTTTTACTTTCTTTCCACATATCTTTCTTATTGACTGGTTTATTTAATAGATTTTTAGATTTCAGAAATGGAGAAAGAATTATTGCTCAGTTCAACAAAATCTGTATGGAACAAAAGCAAACAAGTGCTGGTACTTAATTACAAGCTGTCTGTGGTTTACTGGGTTACTGTGATTTTAATGTGATCTTAGTAAGTGGGTGGGAATGTTAGTCTGGGATAAAAAATATTCTGTTTTTTTGATTGAAACCAGCCATTTGAAGTTTTCAGGAGTGCTCACAAGGCATTATACTACAAACTGTCCCTTCTTAGCACTGCTTTCACTACTGTTTGAAAATTACCCACACAACATTGATACATTATTAAGTTTCTAACATGCTTTAATACACTTTCCAAAAGTTCCTGTACGAAGAAAATGAGCAATGGCACTCATTACAAGGAGATAAAACAAGTCACTAACAAAATGTAATCCAATCATAGCAGATAAATGAAGGTTCTTATTTGCACTTATTGTTTTCCTGCAGCAATAAAGCATCTAGATGCTGCAATGACTGGAAGTTTAATGTGTTAAATTTAATAAAGCAGTCAGTACATTTTGTATATAGCACTTTTAGTTAAACACTTATGAAAAGTAAATGATGTAAAACACTCAGGAAGGAACTGAAGAAAGAAAATCAAGTCGATTTATATGTATGACACGTATGAACAGACAGAAACACTTATATAATTAAAGTGGGATAAGAATCTACAGGAGATGACAGACTGATCTGCAAGTAAAGAACCAGTGTCATACCATAAGACACAATGGAACTATAACAAATTAAAAAAGCAAAGAGAAGTACATCTCGAGGCATCTTAAACAGTTTTGGGGGATCTTTTCCAAAACAAGTGGTAGATGGTATATTTTGAAGAGAACACCTTATAGGGGCAGAACTGGGAGGGGGGACAAGCAGTCCTTGCACATACATAAAATTTAACTGGAAGTAAAATAAAAATAAAAAATAAGATTGTAATGCTGTAAGTTTTGATCTATTACATTACTGTTTTCCATTGTACATCAGTTGCATTCAGTTATGTCTGAATGGCTACTATTCAAAATTAAATGTTCTAGAGAGCAAAGCATAGAAGCACTTAGAAATTATGACACAAATATTCTTTGTGCTTTAGTTCAAGAATGAAATTTATAACTCCAAGCTGGGCACAGTTTGAACACCACAAATAGCAATGAGTCCACACTATGCTGAAGGGAGTATGAAGAGAGGTATGTATCTGAATTCATGCATCTTCCCAGGCATTGTTTGCTGGGACAAAATTCAGATCACAAGTCCTTTTGGGTAGCAATAATAGTGTCTACTCGGCTTGTTTTAACAGGAAGCTGGTAAATTTGACCTGATGTCTCTCACCTTTACTCATCACAGCCTTCTTGTTCAAGTTAGGATCCAAAGCACAAAACTCTTGAAGCCAGCTACCACCAGTAAGTTGCCTCACTGCTTATGCATTCTTATATTATAGCAGATCAGCAGCATTATCTATGCAGCAGGAACTGACCAAACTAAAGAAAAATGGAAAATTCACATCTTTCTCAACACTTTTTTTCTTATATGTCTGCTTTGTATTTTAGCAATATTACAATATTACAAGTGGAAAAATAAAGAATAAACCATTTCAAACTATAGTTGTTTATCTCACAGAGCATATTTACCTCACAGCACTTTGTATTAGCTGACTAGAGGTTAAAAAGTTCAGTGTTTTTAAGTGGTTCTTCTTCTGTTAGACTAAGTTTTTTCAGTTGAGGATCTGAGGTACCAGAAAAAGACCCTGAAGGGTCAAGGCAATTTCGCTAGGAAATGAAAAGCTGTCCTCCCACATAAATAAAGCCAAAAAAACAAAGAAGATTTCAATTCTATCTCTATGTGGTCTCTTGATGCTTAAAGGAATGTAGTCCTGCTCCATTTCTGCAGGTGTAAATTGTAAAATTACAGTCTTCAAGAACCTAAGTTTTCCAGACTAGCCATTAGGATAAAGTAATTTTATTGCTACATGTTATAATTCTAAAAACATTTTTCTCTTTTTTGAGAAAAAAAAAAACAAAAAAAAACCAAAAACCAAAAACCAACAACAACAACAACAAAAACCAAACAAACAAAAAAAAAAAAAAAAACAAAACAAAAAAAAACCCCAAAAACCAGAATGAGAAAGGAAGAAAAAAATGGTCTTTCAAGAGTAGGTGCAGGATTTCTTCTATGCTTCAGGATGAAGCCAGGCAAACATTCATGGCACACCTGCAGCAGCAGTTCTGCTACAAGGAACAATGAGAAAACCCTTCATATTTGAAAAGTTTCTTATTTAGAATTATGATGTTATAATTTTCAAACACAGAGTAGAAAAGAGTTTCTGAAAAACTTAGTACCCTACCCTCTCCAAAATGCAGTAGCCATGATACATATTTTGTTTCTAAAAAATGCATCCTTAATGTTCTCAGGACCTCTGCTATAGTGGAGGCTTCCTATTTTCTCTCAAAAATATTTCTTTCATAGTTCTTTATTTCTTTCAGCCTGTCCACAGAGGCCACAGAAAACCTCTGAAGGTCAATACCTTCAGAAACACAGTGCATAAAATCAGAGGCAGTATTCCTGCCAAGGCCTTACAGCAACAGGAACGCTTAGCATAATCTGCAGTAGCTGGCTGAGGTACAGCCTGCAATGCCTGCATTTCTCAAAAGCCACCAAGCAGACATGGCTGTTCTGGCATGAAGGTGAGCAGCCAGCCTGGCCTGATGCTAAACTGACAAGGTAACAGTGTAAGAAACTGCTGGGCATTGCCTGCAATGTGAAGGGAGGGGTTCGCTGGAAGCTGAGGCCACCAAGGGGGTAAACATCAATAAGGGGGTAAACGAGAAGGTGAAATTCACAGAAAAAAAGGGAGTAATGGGTGAAGAATGCCAAAAGATAAAGGAAAAGGGGACTGATTTATAGACGGTTGTGGTGGTATCAAAGATTAAGGCTGAAATAACCAAATGAGCATGTAAAATTCAGAAAAAATAAGGGCCAATGGAGAAGCAGTAAAGTGTAGGTGAATTCCTTATTTGCAAGGGGAAAAAGGGGGAAAAAAAGGAATATTAGGTAAACCAAAGGAATGCAAGTGTTTGGGGTCTCTGTTGGTCAACCTTGTACCCAATTACAACATGCTGATGTAATAGTAAACACAATAATAAACCATAAGAGTAAGTCTTAAAAATGAACCTGTTGTTTTTCATATTATCTCTGTCTGACTGGCTTCTGCATATAGGGTCATCTCTGAGTTCTAGTAAAACAATAGTGGATGAAACAAACCTTTCTAAAAGAATTTATCCCCCCAGACAACCATCAAGCATTTTTCAGTAAAAAACCTCTTCAGTTTTTCCCAGTCTTTTACATATACTTAATTATTCTTGCATATATGTCATGTCCTAATTGGCCTCAATTCTGGTTTTCAGACTCACTCTTCAATATGGCAAGATCATTGATATGTTTAACATGGTGTTTTAAAGCTTAATGTCTGTAAAATTAATAGGTTCACTTTTGCTAATGCACCATTAAAGGCAATATTCAAGGGAACTGGATCCAGGTCACCTCTTCAGCAATTCTAGTCAATATGTCAGTTTTGAAAGTCAACCATCTATATCTGATATTGGATTATCCAACAAAATCTGTACAACCAAATCCATATAATACCTGTTTAAAATATTTTAATGTCAGAAGTTGTCAAAAACCTTGTTGGAATAAAGATATGTTGCAGCAATCTCCTGTCACACATCCACAGGATATGTTACATGTTCACAGGAGAAAATTAGATTGGTTGTCATGATTTGTTATTGAAAAAACCTTCGGGGCAGTCATTTGTCATATTTCTGCTCCACACAGGTATTTTGTTTATTTATTTCAAATTTCTTTACAGGGATTGAAGTCAAATTGAGCAGTATCTAATTGTCCAATGTCTCCTTCTTTATTCCATTAGCAACCATAACGTTTGCCCTTTCCTAATGTTTAGATATGTCACTTGGCAGACACAAATCCCTGAAATATTAATGATAAAAGTTTAAGTTTTAAAAACATAAAAAACTATCCAGAAAACAAACCATTAAACATTGCAAGTATTTTTATCTGTACAGAGAGAGTACTGGCTAATTTACTTTCATAAAAAATAAAATCAATCCAGCAGTATGTATTTTTTGAAAATCAAATCCCAAATCTAACAAAGAATCAAGTGCTTTCAAATCTCTAGAGTATTATAATAAATGACATCAAGCAAAATCAAAAGTTATGATGTTTAGGTGCTGTGTGTTTCATCATTGACACAGGTTACATAGACACTTAGAACCAAAGCTTCAGCAGTGCTACTTATTTAATACTTTTCAAATTTGTGTAATCCCTAGATATTTCTTTAAATCTTGTAGTCCTTGGCTTGGAGCAACTATCATGACATGTCCTGGTATAACTAGAATTCACCAAACAATTTCCACAGATAGTCTGGGATTTTAGCTTTGGTGGAAATAATTTCCAATAGGCAGTTTAAATACAAACACCCTACTTTCATGGGGAAAAGGAATTTAAAAGTGTGGAAGTAGCCAGACCAATTAACTTCATTACCTGGTACTGTCAATATAAATAGATATTTTTACAATGCTTAACAATATTGATATGTTTAACAATATAAAAATATCAATAATAAATACAACTTCTACTACCTTTCCTAATACCTCTAACTTTTGTTCATAGACACAGGGCAAAGTCATAGAATCAGAGAATCATAGAATATTCTTAGTTGGAAGGGATCCACAAGGATCATCAAAGTCTAAATTATGGCCCTGCACAGGCTAAGAATCACACTGTGTTTGTTTGACATCTTTTGGCAAAGAGACACATAAATACAGCTGGTTTAGATCCAAGAACCAATATCTTAGTCCTTTCTCTTTTATTTTATTTAAATGTGTACAGAATTCATTATATTCTGGAGATTCATTTCGCAATAAAACTAGTCAGAGGCGATATAAAAGACAAAAAAGAAAGCCAGGTTTAACAAAGTAATTTTTTTACATTCTTGATAACCCTGAATCCTAGTTTTTAATGGCCTGTGAAAAACAGAATGTGAATTAAACCTATCCACATCCAACCTTCTCCCTTTATGAAAGACTAAGTTTGACTCTAAAAGCAATGAAGAAAACTCACTGCAGGCAACACAGTAATGAAACTCTAAGGACCTGTTTAATTCTTCAGCAATGTCCATGCTCAAAGGAAAGATAAATTTGCAGCTATCACCAATTTTACTTCAAGGCAGTTTTTCAAGCGTCCTTCAATCTCTTAAGGTTATCCTTTCTCTAAATTTTAAATCAATTGCCTTAATAAGAACTATTCAGGTCTATACAAATATTATGCAATTGACACTAATAAGTGCCATTAATCTAGGCCAGAAAAAGTCCTCTTCTGCTTTCAGTTATCATTGCCAAGTTTTATATGATGCCTTTGTGATTTATATACCTGAGAATTCACATTTTGATTGCTTCTAAAGCAAAATTTCACAGGACATATAAAGTTTTAGTTGTTCGGAATTGCTCCTTTAATATTTTTATGTTTTCTAGTTTTGTTTACTTGATCTCACCAAATTCATTATAAACTTTTTTTTTTTTCTCACTTTTTGGCAGAGAACAATCCATTGTTTGTTGCTGTCAGTTGTACCTTGAATTTTCAGCTTCTGAAATTAAGGTCCTAATTGTCCTTCTTTTCATACTTGGAATGGAAAAAGTAAGATAGATTTGTACTGCCTAACTTTAGGCACCTACTTTAGATGGTAGGCTGAGACAAGTCAAGACTAGCAAAAATGACTCCTCTAAAGGATAATTTAAAGCACTGTCTCCAAGTTTCAAACTTGAACAGCTCTCTGGAGTGGAATACATTTCTGCACTGATTATTTAGGCAGTTTATGGAGACTAGCCTATTAATTTAATAAATCAAATTATGTATCTAGTGATATGTATACAGTTGTATGACTGTCCCCAAAGTTTTTTGAAAATTGAGGGAGAGTACATCTTTTTTTTCAACTGAATTCATTATGTGTGCCCAAACTGATAAGAAAAAAACTTTGAATAGTTACTAAAGCACTTGCAGTAGACAATCCAATAAAAGATATCCAAATCCAATACCTTTTCCCCTGGAATTCATAATCACCTGTTTTTCATATTGGTTTAATTAATAATTAAAAGCCATGACAAAGAGAGCAATTAAATCACAGAATTATAGAACAGTTTGGGTTGGAAGGGAGCTTTAAATATAATGGAGGTCAACCCCACTGCAAAAAGCTGGCACATCTTCAAATAGATCAGATTGCTCAGAGCTCCACTAACTTGACCTTGAATGTTTCCATGGATGGGGCATGCACCACCTCTCTGGGCAACCTTTGCCAGTGCTTTACTGCCCTTAATGTAAGAAAAACTTCTTTTTTATGGCTAAATTAAACCAACGCTCTTTCAGTTTAAAATTTGTATCTCTTGTCCTATCACAATATGTTCTGTTAAAAGTTTGTCCCAGTCATTCTTATAGGCACCCTTTAGACACTGAAAGGCTGCAACAAGGTCACCCTGGAGCCTTCCCTTCTCCAGGCTGAACAGCCCCAGCTCCCCCAGTCTCTCCTCATAGGATTGGTATTCCATCCCTCTTTGTGGCCCTCCTCGGGACCATGTCCTTTTTATTTTCGGGGCCCCAGGGCTGGATGCAGAGGTAGAGAGGTCTCACAAGAGCAGACTAGAGGGACAGAATCACCTGTCCTGACCTGCTGGCCACTCTACTTTTGATGCAGCCCAGAACACAGTTGGTTTTCTGCTCTCCAAGTCCTCCCTGCCCTTCAAGTGCCTTATCATAACTTGTAGGAGGATCTGTTCCTTGATCTTCCCAGGAACATGGATGAGGCTGACAGGTCGGTAGTTCCTGGGTTCCTCCTTCCTATCCATTTTAAAAGGGAGTGCAATGTTTCCTCTCTACTTCTTACCAGGGGCTTCACCTGACTTCTGTGGCTTTGCAAACATCATGGAAAGTGGTTTGGCCACTGCATCAGCCAGTTCTCTTAGGACTCTGGGATGCATCTCATCAGATCCCATAGACTTGTTCAGGTTCCTGAAGTGGTCACAAATCTGATCTTTACTTGCAGTTGGATGGACTTTGTTCTCCCATCACTGATCTTGCAGACTGTCCACTAGACTAGATCAGTTTTAAAAATGACTAGGTGTGTATATGCAAGCTCTACAAATTTCCAACAATTTAATCATCCAAATTAAAAAAAAATGGATAACATAATGGAAATATTACCTGGTCAGAGGGAGAACAGCATTTATTTGCCATTTTCATCTATGAAAAAGAGAGAGGGAAGAACACACAGAATTATTGATATGCTGAAGAGTTTCTGTAAAGCAATTATCATTGATTGACTCATTTATTGAATACTACATTAATACTTCCAAATTATATTTGTGAGAAATGTCATCATTCAGTGCTTAAATACTAGATATTTATTATTATAGCAAATTTGCAAAACCAAGACTTGAGAGACAAAAGCCTTCAATCAGTTTTCCTTAAATACCTCATAAAGAATTGCATTTATGAATTTAACTTTGCCAGTCTGAGTGAAAATACTATACTGTACTTTAGACATCTCAGGTCTCAGTTAAACAATTGCTTAAGCAGATTCTTAAATGACGTCTGTAATTAAGTCCTTATGAAATGATGACCATAGAGTATAAGATGTATTTAAAGGTGAAATGAAAATTGCATGGGCTTTTCTCTTAGTTTACTCTTCAAGACAAAGTTTTTCCTCTTTGTTTAGATAAGGAGGAGTTTTGATCATTTTGACTTTTTTCTGGCAGTCATAGTTTGCACATATGAGTGGTGGTCAAATACTGACATATATCATACACAAATACTTTGAAGTGTAACATTATGTAAAGTGTAATTTTATTAAGTGTAGATAAGAATTTAGAAAAAAATATATTAGAGTGGAAAACCAGTTTTCCCTACATGATAGGAGTAAGCTGAAAACTGTCCTAGAATTGATGAGACTTCCAAAAGACCTTGCTGTCAAAAAGCTTGTTTTATTAGAAATTACAGGCTTGTAATGGAAGACCAAAATCCTACACGTGAGAACAGGGAAAACTACAATTGCCATAGGAAACGAACAGAAGAAATCCGGGACTATTGCTTGTATCCTGGGCACACCAGATTGGTAAAATAAAATCTGTGGATGCAACACAGTTAATATGGTGCTGCCATTGACTGCTGGGGTGGGTTGACTCTGGCCAGTAGCTGAGCACCTGCATAGCTGCTCACACCCTTCTCCCTAGCAAGAAAACTTCTGAGTCAAGATGAACAGAGCTTAAGTGAAAGAAACAGGAAAAATTCAAGTGACGTGAATGCAATCACTCTCGGCCTCCCACAAGCGGGCTTCAAGCAACAGCCCTGCTGGAAGACAAACCCACACCTCCTTTCTCCACAATGTCATTTCAGTTGCTGAGCAAAGTGATGTGGAATATCTCTTTGCCCACTTTCAGTCAACCAACCCATCCGTGTTCTTTCCTAGTTCCTTGTTCCATCCTCTGCTGAGGTGGGTGGGGTGTGTCAGAGTGAGAAAAAGTCAAAGACTTCATCCTGTGCAAGCACTGTTCAGCACCAATCAAAATACTCATGTGTTATTAACGCTGTTCTAGCCACAAATACAAAACACAGCACCTGCTGCTATGAAGAAAGATACCACCATCCCAGTCAGATCCAGTACACCTGTATGGGCCAACAGACTTTGTGTTACGGTAATGACATAGGCCTCAGGATGAGTCAGAATTTATGCACACACACTCTTGCACCTAACAGATGACAATAACAAGTTATTGTCCTCCACAGAGTGAAGTATCTACAATCATAAACAAGATGACCTTAAGAAAAAAGGCAATGTGAGGGGGTAGGATGACAACAGGAGTCTTGACTGTATGGACAGAGGGTGATAGAAATGCTGAGGGCTGTAGGAGCTCTCTAGTCAGTCCTAACCCACCATGGGCCATCAGGGTTTCTTCTCCCTCTTGTGCTCAGTTTTGCAGCCCTTTGGAATTGAAGTGTGCAATTAAATGGTGCAGGTGTGCTGGTGGGTCAGACAGCTGGGGGTGACTGAGGGTCTGAGGTAGAGATAGCCAAGCTGGTGGGAGCCTGGGGCACCTTCCAGACCTGGCTGTGTGTTAGGAGATCCTGCCAGGCTCTTGGAGTGGCCCTACCAGCTCCCAGTCACCCTAGGGGAGGAGCAGGGACTACCACAACAGCAGCAGGTCACAGGCTGCAGGGCTGGCACCCACAGCTTAGCACAGCCAGGGACAACCAGGAGGATGGAAATGAAATTCGGCTGCTGACTGGACAGAGGGGCCCTAGGGGCTCCTGGCAGGTCATGCACACAGGTGTGCCTTCCTCGGCCTGGCACAACTGCTGGGCTGCACCATTCCAACTGCACAGAGCTGGCCTGAAGCACTGGCTGGGAGAAGAGGTGGCTGAGCATCTTGGTGCCCGCAGGGCCCTATCAGTAACAAACCAGCTGGAACTCAAGAACCTCACTCTGTATCTTGGTTAAAACAACTTGGTGAAATGGCCAGTGTTGCAGAAGGACTAGTCTGATTTGGTGGTGGGCTTAATCCTACTAAAAGAGTTGTTCAGGACATAATGAAAAGTCACCTGGAATACTTCAGTGTCGGTAGAAATGCTGATACACTCTACCTATAAGATAGTCCAACCTTTCTCCTATGCCTCAGACACAAATACATACACAAAGTAACTACAGAAAAGCCATGTTAAACACACAGAAAATATAGTTTCCTTCCAAGTGTCCAAAACCATACTCAATAATAAGATTACTATAGCACAAACCAGTGTAAGTAAATGGGTTCAGGTGTGCCTGGATAAAAGTATGTCAGCCTGGCTATGAAGATTTTCTGCACCAAGCAGGTAGAATATTTTGAAGAGCATCCTAACAACCAGCTCAGCTTCCCATTGGTAAGGATAATAGGGAAGAATGCTTTGGATTCCACAGTTGTTCACTGCACACGCAACTCATTCCCTATTCAAAGCAGGATGGCTGAAGCCCTGATGTAGCTGTGGGGAGAGGAAAAAGATCTGCTTCTGTATCATATTACATCCCAGTGTCACGGGTCTGAGAAGTAGGAATTCTTCACTTCACCCAGTACCACATGTGCCCTTCACATGTCTCTACAGCTGATGCAGACAGGCAGGAATACCAATGGGATACATTTACCTTGCTGGCACTGCATGAGCTCTCAGCACTGCAGTATAGAAATGTGAGCTGGACACAGCAGGGGAACTAAAACAAAAAACCAGGGTCTGCAAAGACTGCAGGCTACTTAGAAAAGGAACTATTAAGCAAATTATAATTCCTATGCTCTGTTCTAAATGGATACATACAGGGCAGGAACTAAAATCATTCAGAACCATTTACCTAAATCTAAATGCCTCCCAGGCTGGGATTTATTTCACATATAATATACCTTTATTGTCTCTCAAGAAAACAGTGAAGGATCTTCACAGGTACCTGTTTTTTCCTAGCTGTATTAGTAACCTCTGTGATGGCTTATTGCTTGGCCAAGTTTAGGGCACGTGGGTCCTATCCTTACTGACTTCCCTTTACAAGCTCTACAGTTTGAACTGTGGTACTTTCAACTAGAAATTTTTGATTTAAAACAACAAAAAAGCAGCAGTGAAGAAATATTATGCATTCTCACCCTGGGAATAGAACTATTTGTATAATCATTGAGGCACTCGAATTTGTATACTGCTCCTACACACAAGGATTTTGTTTCCATCTACATGTACCCCACAATCTGATGTGTAAAGAAAGCAAGAGGTTCTCAATATTCTTTTTTTTTAATGTATGTTTAAAGCTCATCTTTCATAAGTCTCTCCCTATTACAACAGACATTCCACACAACTGCAATACAAAATATCCCCAGATAGGTGTTTACATGAAGAAATAAAAGAGAAGGTTTAGAGACTATGACATATACAATTAAAAAAGATGTCATGGGCATAAATGTGATCTGGATTAATAACCCTACTTTAATATCAAATTTTATGTTTCTACCATCATCCAATGAAACTGCTGGAATGATTTATAAAAATCAGAAATAATTTTTAAAGTGAAACAAGAGCACCATAACTTGTTCTCTGACCTGCTTACGACCTACTCATTTATTTTCTTTTTTTTTTTTTTAATAACACCATTAGAATTTACTGTGAAAAAACACAAAACATTGAGAAAGTTTTATATATAAGAAACAAATCTCTATAATGTAAATTAACTGACATCATTACCTTTAGGTGCTTCTACTCAGTGCAATATTTCAAAGACAATAATTAAGATCCATGAGAAAACCTGCATATATCTTATAGCTGTCAATCCAAATGGTGAAAAACAGAGATAGAAATATAAATTATCCCAAAGACCTTTCTCCTAAAAAGTAATAGCCATTACAGCACTGTCATTTCAGCCTACAAAGAACCCTTCAGCTGAAGAAATTAAGAACAGGAGCAGTGAGAAGCACAGGCAGATTAATTCATTTCCCGGGCTTTTTGTTTCATCATGGAAGATTCACTGCCAGTTTCTGTTACCCTTCTTCCCTCAGTTTCTTCAACTGCACCTCCTTCTGCAAGAAAAGAGGTGTACAAAGAAAAAAATCTCATGTGCTGATTCACCTGCATTTATTTCTGCCAAGGGTAAATGCAAAAAGCTTTGAGAATATTGAAAATAAGGATTGAATCACAAAGGAAGATGATAGGGTAGTTTCATTCTGGTAGAAAATGATGTGAAAAAACAAAATACATACAGAGAGGTGAATAATTTGGGGCAAGGTCCTCAGAAATGCGTGTTGCTTATAAAGCTGACTGTAACTAGATTTTCTGAGCTAAGCATACAAAGCATGTATCAGCAATGTGGGCTGAAAAGACACTCACATTTTTCTCCACATTGCAGCATTCCCTGTGCTCCTCTGTCATTTAAGAATTAAGTCCAGGCTGGTACCAAAATCATTATTTCTCATCTACCAAGTAACACTCTCTAAATAAGTACAGGGGCAGCACTCCTGTGCAGTGACAGCTTCTCACATCTCCACTGTGGATGACTCCTCCTATACATTTGATCCCCAGAGAGCGTGCCTTTGTATAGAAGTTAGATGTTTCAGTAGTACTTCAAAAGAGTAGTCTGACATTAGCAGAAGTGTCACATTGTGGCAGAGCTATTTTTGCACTACCTACACTGTCTCCTGGCATCAGCAGGAGATCTGATGACAAAGAGCTGCTGAACATGACTTTATTAGGGTAAAATAAAAAAAATAAAATAAAGTATATTAGGGTAAAGTGATACAAGAAAGATTGGGTGCACTCTACAAAAACAATCCCTACTAGGAGCTTTTTCAGAACTAAAATTCTAAAAGAAATTATCGAAAATTTCATGCAAATATGTAGGACAAAAAATGTATATAAGAGTAACACAGATAGGCACAGTTTAAATAAGAATTACTAAGGTATGAGAAAAGTTGCTAAAGTAATGAAAAAATTACCAGCAAAACAAAATGTAAAAATGTGTGGAAGTAAAACATGAATAATGGTAAATATTGCTTAAAAACCTACTAATAGCTCAGGTAAGGATGCCAACAGCGTTAGTAAAAAAGTCCATTGTGACCATGTATCTAGTAATTAATTTCCATCCTGAGATAATGGTGTGGGACAGAAAAGGAAATCAATAGTTTAACTATTTGGAGAAGCAACTGAACTTTGAGTCAGCAAGTACTCATGAAAATAACCCATAACCAGATAAGGAGCTCTCTGAAACAATTTCTGAATGAGTAGTGATTTTCTTTGGTCCTGGAGAATGGGGAGACACTTTACAGAAGTGGAGAAATGCAGAAGCGGGAAGAAGCTCCGAAGGAATTACAGATTAAGTCCCCAATGTCAGTGTCAGAGGTATGATAATAAAAGAATAATTTTTTGAAATTGTAAGACTAAGGCAATCAAAAGGATTCCAAATGGACTTCCAAGAAGCCTGTTTCAAAGGCCCTGTCCTAAACACTGTGGAGGGTGGTCTGTGTTTTCTGGCTGCTCAGAGGCAGAGAGTCGTCCAGCCTTTTGCTGTACTCCAGCCTCTCAATCCCCATCTTAAAAATAGTTTGCAACAAAAGGAATTCTCACTGATTGCTGCATCTCCCCTTCTGCAGTTCAATAATTAAATAAATTCTCTGGCCTGACCTTTCCAGTTGTACCACAGGCTGCATGCCTGACAAAACCTGTAAAGCTACTGTCCAAGCAAAAAAGTTTACATGCTTCTCACATGAGCTGCATAGAGTTTACTTTGTAACTCACCAAGAACACAAAACATGGATATTCATCATGACTGTTGTTTCTCAGGCTCTTCCTGGGAACAGCCAGTTATATGAACACCAGATGGACTACTTTGTTGTCAGAATTCACTAGTAATAGATAGTGGAGAAGACTAAGAAAGTACTCAGTTTATAATAAAATATTGCTGCTGACGGGTTGCAGCACAGTGAAGATACTGTGTCAGGACACATAATTACTGTATATAGTCCTTTGAAAAAAACTGACTAGCACCCTATGACTAACAAAAGATGCCCTCATTTATTTTTATTCTTATTCACTTATATCATTGGAGTGGCTTTTATTCAGTGAATTTCTCTAGAAAGAAAGAAAAAAAAAAAAGTTTAGTAACTATGAATCGGAATTGCTCTAGAAATATTACCATACACTTTCTTAGAATTATTACATAATAATACCCTGTACATTATGTGAGTCACTAAATAGTGTTTAAAAAGAATACGTCATAAGCAAAAATGTCTGATTTTGACAAAGAGATTGTTTAAGCAATTGAATATTTTAAAATAATTAATGGAATAAATTAACTGTTATGATCAAATGTGATTCATGTAGATTTTGAAGTCTAGGAAAACAAATTAAATTTTAAGTCTGTTTTAACCAACAGACATAAAGATTTCTGTTGAAATCTAATACAAATTCTATACAATATAATCTGGAGACCTAAGCAACAGTTCATTTAGAGTACAAAGCACAAATAAAAGTCAGGCTACTAAATCATAATTTATGAAAGAAGTTAACAGACTCTGCACATGGAGAGAAAGAAAAGATTAAAACCTGCATAGACAATTCTTTCAGGGACAGCTGTGCTATTGTATTTTCATCACTAAATTTTATAATGTCTTAAAGACAAATATACTTTCAAAATTGTACATTATTGAGTTCCCTATTTAACTTCATAGTTAATTCCATAATTATCAATGTTTGTAGCTGCTCTTTGATGGAATAATAAGTGTGCTGTCCAAATATTAATTTTCTGTTTCTCTGGGGATTAGTTAATACTTCGGCTTGCAAAGGCAATTGTTACTTATTAATTTACAGGAGTAACTTAAAACAGCATAAGCATCTTTATACTTCTAGGAAGTGAGATGGAATAATGTGGCCTTAAATAAATCAACTCTTAGACAACTTAGAGATGTAAAATTACTGTCTCCAGTAAGTCTCTGTAAATCATACTTCACTAGCTACAGAATTTTCACATGCTTGTTTCAAAATCAACAAATGCTAATTTCAAGCACAGTTTAACTACAAAAATGTGAAAATGAAAGCTTTGGTCACATCTAAAGCTCTGTGAAATGACCAGTATTGATGCATATTTTGTCCTAAAAGTCTTTAAAATTATAAACATAACCTGATTTTTTAATGGTTTCTGTTCTACGCTAACACTGCAAGCCTTGAAAACGTCTTGATACTTTTGATCAGGCAACCTCTCCCTGTTTTGTCCTTTCTCCTTTTCCTCCCCATACACAAGCATTTTATATATTGTACTTAAAGGTGAATTGTTTTTTATCCTTTGAAAAGTAGAAATAACTTTACAATAGCATAAACAAGAAAATATGCAGAAAGTAACATACATTTTGAAGTGTCAAATCACTGATGTTAGTTGACATTGCTCTCAGCCAGTCAGCACTCTCCTGGGCTGTATAAAACTGAAGTATCCCAGTACTAACTCCATCGAGTGCCAGCACTTCAAATGCATTAGATCTGCAGTAAGAAGAAATATATCCGTAAAGGAAGATATGTCAGTTTTCTGAAACTGCCCAATATTTATCAGTGTTCAAGTGACTTTTATGCCTTTTGACAAGTTTTTGAGTGCTTAATTTACCAATCAATAGAAAGGCAATAAAACTAAATATAATAGGGCAGTACCAAGAGCAAAAGATGCAAGAAGTACTTTCTCTGTACCAATATATACATGTGCTGATGATCATTTACTTCCCCTGGGTATACATATTTTGTTCATAATTATTGAACATAAGGTAGTATATTCAGGAAATATGCATTGGGTCTTTCTGAAAAAAAAAAAAAAAACCAAAAAAACAAAACACCAACAAAAACCCATAGTGTTTTTTTAAACCAAAATGCCAATTTTATTTATTGCATTTTGGCTTCATTTACTAGGAATGTATGAAGATTCAAAGCACTGTTTTCCCTAGCTTTCATTTGCTGGATTCCTAAACTTTTTTTTATGTAGCATTCAAAGCAATGCTTTCTTCAAGCGTTTTTATGTCATAGGGTTTCATTTGCTGGATTCCTAAACGTTTTTATGTAGCATTCAAAGCAATGCTTTCTTCAAGCGCTTTTATGTCATAGGAATTTGAAAAACATTCTTAGAAGTTTCTTCAAAAATTTTCCTTAAATAGTCTTCTCAAAACAACATTGGCACAGGCCAATGTGCAACTGCATTTTATTAATTTTTAATGCAACTTTTATGTGTTTATAGCGACTTTATTCTGCAAATGCCAATGCTTTCCTTTCCTCACTATCTGCAGTAAGTTAGGCACTGCCTATGTACCTCTGAAATCCCCTGCATCTGAATGATGGTGGGATATGCTTTTTTAACTCTTGAAATTTTCCTATAGAAACAACAAAAGCTCATTAAGTAGAGGCATGGAAGTACACTGGTCTAAGTTTTAAAAAAGTGACACACAATAGTTGCAGTAACTAAACTTCACAAAGATAACCAGATTATTTAAATGCCTGTGATTGCCAGGAGAATTACAATTTAGTATATACTATTGTGAAAGACAATTATAATTTTCTCAATGATTGTGTGCATGTTCATTTTTTTGTATAATATAGAGAATATCACCACTACCTTCTACATTTGTAAATTAGATATTGATACTTATATGCTATATTGTCCTATTTCTGGTACCAACCTAGAAGAAAGCCAACTACTGAATCAGAATACTCCTCTGTGAAGTTGCTCAGTCTTCCTGGAGTTCTCTGATCTAAGATGAAGTCCTCTACTGCTTAATCGATGATATGTGTCAACATTCAAAATGACATACACAGGTTAATGGGCAGTCATTAATTCCTGATTTAGTGAAAAAGTTACTAACATAACCTTTGTCATTTGTAGGGAGTTTGATGGTGAACATGAATACTGAACTCTACGTACTTGCTAGAAAAGGTAATATAACTACCCATCATACACAATATAAATAAGACAATGTATCTGAATAGATATATGTGAGTGTCCTAGGTTACATTATAAAGTTGTAATCTCTTCCCGTCCTCAAGAGCTGCTGAAACCAGGAGAGGCATTGTTTTTTCTTTATCTTCTGTTAATGTGCCCATCACTGTCCCGCCACATGACCCAGAGATAGCTCCCTCAGGGAGCCATTTCTGTTTAATGGGCAATCATGACTCACAGAATAATATCAGCCCACTGTGAGATGCTCCACCCGGGGGGAGGAGCTAAGAATCCCCACATGAATATAACCTGGGTTTGAGGGCAGAATAAACTGCCCTTACCCACTGGTTTTCAGAGGACAAGAGTTACCAGATTTTTCTACAGGATCACCACTTCGACAAGACCATTTCATCTGGATGGCTATCACCACCCTAACAGTGCTTTTTCTTTTGTATTATTGCATGTATTTTGGTGTTTTTTCTCCCTTTTCCTAACAAATTGTATTTCTGACTTAGAGTCTCTCACTAGTTTTGCTTTCAAACCAGAACAGTGAGATGCTGTGCTTTTAAAGGAGTTGTAAAGCATTATATCTGCTGTTTGCAAAATTTAACATGCTTGGCCTGAAGACTTAGATATGGATCAGGTAATTGTCCATTTTTCTTTCATAATTGAATTATCATGGGAACTACTAAAACTTGATATCAATGGCATAATTCTGTGCCATTTTCATTTCAGTAATCTCTTTCACCTCTTCAGAAAGAAAGACACGATTTAAAAAAAAAAAAATCCTTTTATTGCCTTCAAGTAAACTGAGTAAAATAATCCCCTCCCAAACATATTGTTCTTTTTACCTAAGGTTCTGACAAAGATCCCAACAGTGCTGCAATGAAGTGACTTATGGTATGATCTCCTCAACATCCCGCTGAGACAGTGAGAATCTGTCAACCCTTATGCATTGATACACCCTGGTGCCTGGAAGCAGACTTAATTTAATGCAGTGAGGAGAAGCCCTTTACAATGCCCAGCTTAGATATCCCATTCAAATATCAAAGCTAAGACGCTAGGATTCTTACAAAGCAAGAGGGCTGTCCAGAGCATTTAAGAGAGCCAAGAAATAGCATGTGTTCTCCATGGAACCACAGGGTGTCTAGATACTAACTCAGCTTCTGCAGACACACAAAGACCTGAATGCCTTATCCCAGTGGCACGAAGTCACGTAAGTGGCTGATGAAAGATCACAGAAGGGAACTTCTTGGTTAACAATTCATGCAACCAAAACAGGCAATCAAAATTAAAAAAAACCAAATTTGATTATAAAAATTACCAAATATTTAATCATTTTAAACGTGCTGCTGGTGATAGAGTGGATTACAGTAAAAGTCCTGTTGTTCTTTATCTTTTTTAAAATGCGGTGATCAACTACAGACAGTTAATAATATTCAATGTTCATCTAGAGATCCAACACTTCACTAACATGATATTTGCACAGAATCAAATAGGGTGTGAGAGATCCTGTAAGTCCCCTAGTCCAGCCTCCTCACTAACTTTCTTCAAAAATACAGATCTTTTCCACAGGAGGACCAAAACTGGACATAGAAGAAGCTGCTTCAGGTGAGATGAGAACAACCATTTCCCTTGACTTATTGACTGTGTTATTGCTAACACAGCCCCTTATATGGGACTTTACCACTGAACCTGTGCTCAGCTGACTTCTGCTCAGTGGGGAGTCTGCCAACATCCCCAGGCCCTGCCTGCAGAGCTTGTTCCCTTGCTCCAACACACTGACACCAGGACATTCTTTTCCCAGGGCTCAGGCTGGTTCAAGGCTTCTGATGTGCCAGTGGTGGTCACATTACCTGGCACACGGGACTGAGACTTTTGGGGCACTGCTGTCCCCACTGTGCTGGCTTGGCGGGAAGGTGGTTTTACCAGAAAGCAGTTCAGTGTAAATGACATAAAATAAAAAACAGCCAGTGCTTTTCAAAGTTTACATATGCTAGTCATGAAGTCTGTGGTAGTAAGACAGTGGTTTTGCCCTGAATCTTAATCAATGTTACTATGATTTTTTCTTGCTTTCAGTTACAAAAGTTTCTCTCTGAAGATCCCATAATATATTGATATTGTTCCATGTACCACACTGTGTTCTGAAAAGCATAATGTACAGAAGGCTACAAATAAAAACAGATATCCAAACTAAAAATAAAAGCTTAACAAAATAAATCCTGAGGCTTTTGTTTTAAGTGAAACAATCAAAGCAAGCACCAAGATGGCACTGAAATTCATGAGAAAATAAATCCTATAGGCTTAAATGACATGCATTTCTCTCTGTCATTTCCTCAAAACAAAGAAAAGGAGACACAACAAAGCACATACTCCAGTTAGCTGTCAAGGAGGAGCTTTCCATTTAATACCAAATAATATGTTTGAAAGGTTTCAAGATGGTATAAAGTTGCTGTGGGTTTTTTTTTTCTTTGTTGGTTTGTATTTCTTTTTTTTTCCTGAGGCCCTAAGAAGATTTTAAAACACAGACAGAGGAAATTTCTGCATCTTCTGTTACTGAAGTTATGCTACTGACTACTCCAACTAGAGCAAGCAAAGAATATTTGCATTTCCTAAATACTAGAAATTTGTGTTGCACTGCCATCACATTTCTTACTTTGAGATTTGTCTCCCTATCTGTAAATTTGTTTCCTTCAAGCATTTCTGCTAAGGAGCATGAGACATTTTCCATACTCAGTTTCTTTCTATGTCACTTTCATGGTGAAATGATGAATAGATCTGCATGCCTGGTCTCTTCTCGAGTTTGTTTATGGCATTAATTTCTCGTAATAAAAGAAATCCTATCTTTGTGAGCATGGCAGTCAGAATAACAGATGAGCGTTGGTAGACTTTAGGTTCTCTTCTTGAAATTGACACCTTTAAACAAGTACTATTAATTAATATTAGTAAGCAAATTTTTCCGTACAAGCAGTTTGCTACTATAGAGGTGTTAAATTAAAAGACTTTTCTAAGATAAAAAGTATTTTTCCCAGCTGAAATGGGAAGAGATGAACTTTTACATTATTGGAGGCTAAGAATTCCAGAAAAGCATATATTTATATTTTTTAGTATGTGTGGCATGTGAAACCATCTCTCTTAGACTTACATAGGCATTTTATTATATAGATATTTCTACAAAAATTTAGATGTAGGCTTGACTGCAACTCATTTGTCTTTACTACCATGCTGATACAGACAGATGTATTTAATCAGCTTTGCATCTTCCCAGGTCTTGAATCAGTACACACTGTTTGTATGATTTTTTGATATTTCTGTTAGTTAATATTGCTTTTGTTACAACATTTTCTTGTGGCTTGTTTGTAATACTACACAGCCCTCTTGCTAGAATGTCTACTTAGACTGAAGTTTTAAGGACTATGGGTAGATCTGGGTGGAAATTCTCCAAAAGGAAGGATCTGAATTACTTAATCTCTTTGAAATGTCGTGTTAGAAGTAATGGGATTTTGTATTGTAAATGTCACAGAACCTTGTACCTTACAAAATGTTTAAATGTGCCCATATAACTGGACTATTGACAAAAACTACATAACTCCGAAGATATCAAAACATTAAACATAAACTTGGATTGCATTTTATATTTGTGGTTTTGGGGGAACATTTTGATTCCAGTATTGTAACTTTTCATTACACTTATAGCAACCAAATAAGATAATTGAAGTAACACAGACATTTATGCTTCTACTAATATTTTCTAACTGATGTGTCTGAAAACTGTGATAAAGTTTATTTAGTTTTGTAACTCAGTGAGATTATGCTTAATTTCTAGATGTTTTTCAAAATGGTTTATTAAATTTCTTCATTTTCAATTATTTATCTAATTAAAGGCATATTGTTAACTTACTGAAATGATAAATGGAAAATACCATTCTTCAGAAAAAATCTGTGAAGAAACTAATGAACCTAATACATTAAAAAAAATTTTAAAATACATAATCCTTTGGAATAATTGCAATGGTCAGAATACCAAGAAATAGAAAATAACACCTAAATCTAATTAGGTTATTTTGTAATTGACATCACAAATACCTGGGCTCATAGCTACTGGGTGTGAATTACTTTCATTCCACTCACTATTTCAGTCTCCCATATTGGAAATAAATATTTTTTCTTCAGTCTCTAAACTCATAATGTTCAAGATGTTATAAGTATCGTACCTTTACTCAAAGCTTCTGTCAATGCACTGTATAAAAATTATTATGCATTACTACCAGTATCAGCTGTAAAGACTAAAAATAGTTATCTGCATTTCCCCAAATAACAATTCCATAACAAAAATGAAAAACTACAGTGCATGAACTGTGTTCCCCACCTTCTAAAAGACTACCTATCTTTATTTTTCTACCTTAAAAAAAATCCCATCCCAAGCTATAATATGAACCACAAATTCCTTTGAGTGAGAAAAACTTACTGATATTATTTCTCTGTTAAACTTGCATCACATTTTTTGACCAATTCAATCCTCAACAGTCAAAAAATGTTTCCATTGCCAACTAGCAATTAAGAGTATTCACAGCAATAGCATTCTCACAACATTTATATTACCTTACTTCTTACAGAGAAAAATTACCTTGATGGATTAGTGAGAATTGTAGAATAACAGAAGCAGTATTTTATATAATAAAGGCAAAGGAATAAAAAAGTTATTGAATTGCTAACTAATCAAAAAGACTAATTAGCATGCATATATAAATATCTTCAGACAGACTCCAATCATATCAACAATGTGCAATACACAAATTCAAGGTGATTTCAGTAGTTAATATAAAGTTCAATCTTCCAGTTGGAACAGGAATGACATCTACTATGTTTCTCATCTTTCCTTAAAAATAGTCTGAGGAATTTTTTTTTGGGATCATGGGATGGCAGTAGGCTTTATGGCATTATTTCATGTTCCTTCAGAGTGTACACAACAATAACAAAAAACTTCGCTAATAATTAAAGAATGGAATAAATACTAAATATATTTGGGAGTGAGATACATCATAAGAGAATATGTCTCTCCAAGGCTAAAACTAAAAGCACTAAGTTCCTCAAATCTTACACAAAAAAACATATCTGTGATGGGTTGATCTCGGGCCAGGAGCCAAACATCCACACTGCCATTCCCTCCCCCAGCCCTCTCCAGAGGCATAGCAGAGAGGATACGAAGAAGAAAAAACCTCATAAACTGAAATAAAGGCAGTTTAATAAACGAACACAAGAGGGAAAAAACCCTACTAACTAAATTACAACAAAACAAGTGATGCAAACACAACCACTCACTATCTCTCACAAGCAGAATGATGTCTTGTCAGTCTCCAAGAAATGGCTTGCCTTCCTCAAGCTCTCTCTGCTCAGTTTTTATTGCTGAGCAAAGATGCTACACAGCATGGCATATTCCTTTTGTCATTTTGGTTCACTGGTCCTATTTGTGCCTCCTCTTAAATTCTTGCCTACCCTGGGTCTGTTTACTGTGTAGGAGCAGACCAAGAAAAGGAGAAAGCCTTGATGGTGTGCAAGCCCTGGTAGCAACAACCACTATAATGTTGCTGTTAATGTTGCTTTAGTCACAAATCAAAACACAGCGCCATATGGACTACTATAAAGAAGATAAACTCCATCTCAACCAGACGCAGTACAAAGCTGAAGGCGTTTTACTTCAAGGAATTCTCAAAATGCACATGCCACTCTTTTGGGAACTGGAATCCCTTGGGATTTCTCCATCTAATGTGTAAAGTGCACAGCACAGGAATGAAAGTGCTTCAGACTATCAGGGAACTAACTGAAGTCAGAGGTTTAAATGCTCCACCCTCTTCCATTTATATTTTAGATTCTAGAACACTGATGATAACTTGATGCCTAAATGTGAACACTGAGATTTTTTTACTTAATTTACTGAATGTCTAAGCCTTGAATGTTTGGAGGTCTGTGATAGATTGGACAAGACTGAACAGCATGAACTTGTCAGTTGAAGTAGGGAGGAAGAAAGTGGTGAAGGAAGTGGTGAGACACTAAGTAGAAGAGAATTAAGACTTCAAAGAAAGTCTGTAGAAGAAGCTAAAATTTTTCTGGACAATTTATTATTATTCACCTGTGATGCTTTAACACAAAGTCTGGGAGAGGAGCTGCCAATTGCCTTAGAAGATGAATTGCTGTAAGTTAAAGCAGCATATCTGTCCTACTAGAAAGATAATGCTTTTCATGTCATTTTGAGGAAACAGGTAAAAAAGCTGGCATAAGTCAAGAAAGGTATCCACATGAATTTCTGGTACCTCCTCATAGGAGGTGACCTGTATATTGATTCTTCAATTCTTCTTCCATTTATCTCCTTAATATGTATTAAAGGCAAATAAAAGTAGGGCAACCCATAAAGAGCATGGAAAATAGTGACAGTGAATGAGCTCCTGTTCTGATACATACGGAGAACTATGGACTGCTTGACCTACAACTACTGGTAGATTTGAGACTTATACCACATAATGGTTTACAGAAAAAGCTTATATATGCTGCAATGTGTTAAACTTTCTCAAGCATATTATTTATTGAAGTTTTATTAAACTTCACTTTTGCTTTCATATTTCCTGAAGCCCAGTAAAATAGCCTCTGACATCCTATTCCACAGTTACTTTATGAACCATTAGTTATGTCTCTGAGATGCAAAAGAAATCTATGATCAAAAATACAGTATTTTGTACCATGTACTTAGCCAAAATCTCATCAATATGAGTTTCTATATGACACTGGTAAAAACATATGTATAAGACACGATAGCACAGGCATGATGATTATGCATTGTGTTATCATTTATAATGAAAAAGGAGAGTTAATTGACAATATTAGAATTGGGGAATATAGAAGTATCCTATTAGGTATACGGAAGAAATTGTAGTAGCTTCAAAATTCATTCACCTAACACCAGGATTCAACTTTGTACTAGCTGCTGATGCTAACTGAATTCCCAAGAGACAACAGATTATAGAAACATATTTGTAGGAGCTTTACCTTATCTTTGGTAATCACCATGAATATCATTAATCTTAGGAGAAGATGAACTGCATATCTTTTAATAAGAAGAATTTAATATCTCCACTCAGTTCTTATAAAGCCAACAATCCACAGCAAAACACTATGTACAGCTAACTAACCCAGTGCCTCCCCTTTTAGATTACAAACCTTAATTTATCTGTTCCAGTTTTGTACCTCGAGATTCGAGCCATCGACAGAGGAACTGATAGGGTGTCTAGCCAGCGCTTCTCGTATTTTGGTTCATTAGCTATGGGTGAAGAAGGTGATGATGGAGCCTGTGCAGAATAAATGAGAAACAGTAGGAAAGCTTATAAGACAATATAGTGAAAAACCCATGAATATGCATCTCTGGGTCTGTTTGTCTCAGAAGTGAATAATCATCACAAAAAAAGTATTCAAGAAACTCAGGATGGTGTAGAGAAATGAAAACCCATGTTACCCATCTTGATATTTTGCTCTTGATGCAATTTCAGTACTACTTTAACATCAAATTTTTGTTAATATTAATAACTGATACTAGAAAAGAAAGTTTTCAGTCATAAATGCCATGACTTCTTTCTAAATGCAGCATAGTATAAATTTGTAATTTAAATTAATTTGTTCTGTATAACTCTTCTGCATCCTTCTATCATCAAAGGACATAAATAATATCCTAATTAAATACTACACTAGAACGTCTATTTGTGCATTGTGCTGTTATATCATTTAAGAGTAGATTTAAAATTCAAATTCCTGTGTTACCATACTACAGATGGATGACTTGAAATTTTATCTTTGAAGCCTTTCTTCAAATGCCTCTACTAGAAAGGCAAGAGTTGAGCATTTCACTCTTTTATAAAGATACAAGTAAAATTTACACAAAGTTGGCTGAGAAAGATTTACAGACATACACATTTAGGTCAAAGTTAGGTGTTTGTGCTGTTTCTGAACCAAAATTTTTTATCCTGCACTGTGTGGAGAACTTTCCAGTAGAAAACAGAGTTGAAAGTTAGTTATTTTTATATGAGCTGTAAGTAAGCACTGAGTATTTATGAAAGCTCAGAAACCACAGAATGACCCAATTCAGTTCTGTTCTGCCAGGTGTTCAAAAGTCATAAAACTTACACATACTAAAAACATTTTGGGAATTGTCTATTTCTTTATCTTTCTCGTAAGGATTTAGGATTTATTTTTTTTCCCCTAAAACCCCTTTGTACAGTCAACAAGGGCTGATCTATTTACTTCTTTAAATAAATCAAAATAGTGAGTTTCACATCCTAACAGGATGACTGAGATTTAATGACTGAAGTACAATTTCCTAGTAAAAGAAACATTTGTAATGAAATTGCTGGAGTTGGTAACACTAAGGAATGTTTTAGACAGCAATCATTTTGGGGACAGGAATTTAATTTAGAGCATTTGCTATCCCCTAGAACCATACAGCTCTCATTAGACTGAGATCTGGTGTTTTTGCATATGAGTATTTCATAATCAAGTCCACAGACTAATTTTATTTTATGAAATTAGGCACAAAACTCTAAGGTGCCTTTGAAATCTAAAATAAATTTATTAGTATCACAATGAAGAATTTGACACATACTACAGAATCCTGCATGAACTAAAATAATTGACAGAAGCCCATGCAATCTGAAGTTGAAAAGGATCAACATAATCTAACATTGTCTGTCTGGAAACCAAAATGTCTGAGAATAAAACAGAAGGTGGCTTATTGCAGTCAAATATAAATACTTGATTATGATCACTGAATCCAAGAATGAGAAAAAAATCCCATAAAAATTCCTGCAACAGCATCATCTATTGTTCCCACCTCCTAAATTCTCAAGATGCAGAAAACATCTAGACAATTTATACATAAGTTTTTTTCTTATGAACTATTAGTTGTACTTCTTTTGTCAGATTATTGAACAACCTGATAAATATTCAGTAATAGTCTAGGTAATTTATGAGCATTTGGCAGAAAAAAAAAAAAGTAGGTCACATGGGCAATTTAATGTTTCCATTTGAGTCCCTTACACTTCAATCAAATGCTTCAGTAGGTATCAGCATAAAGAAAAAGTATCTCAATGGAAGTAAAAGTTAGAATTTTAGAAAATGTACATTGCAGCTATTCATTAGGTAAATGAATTGAAGAGGAAACTTGGCCACCATCACTTGATCAAAAATCTATTAACCCCAAGATATAAAACTGCAGTACAGAAATATTCATGTCAAAATACTAAACTGTTAAAACTGCTGTAAATTCCTAAAGCAAATGGGTCTTCCCCAGACAATTTCAAAGATTTGATATTTGAAAAACACACTAGAAAGAAAATTTTTTTTTCCCACAGTTCCAAACTACTCATAACTGCAGAAACTCTACTGCTTGATCTGAACATTAATGGCTAAGAACAGCAAAAGGGTAGGAAGATGTCAAGCTAGTCTAAGTTTCAAATCGTATTTCTTATGAAGACATACTCTACTAATGAGTTTATGGTAGACCATAAAGTTGGAATTACCCCTTTTCATCTTCTTAAGGACAAAACAGGGAATACATATGTCTGTAAGACCATTGCATGGAAACAAAATACTATCATAGGACCAGCAGCTATTTTGTTCCATTTAACCTATAATCTATTAACAATTCAATCTGAGATTCCTTGATATATCCTCTTCAAAACACATGGACAAAAATAAAAAACTCAGGAGGAAGCAAGTGAAAAAACAAGAGAAAGGGCTGAGGAAGAAGCTCATTATACTGAATGAGAGATAAAAACTGCTAAAAATATAGTAGATAAATGTATAACAATGCACATGAAGAAAAACAACATTAACTTTTCCCACACTCCAATGGGATATGAACAAATAATTACAGCTCATAATCTAGATCTTTGAAAGACTTGTTTTTTAACAACTAGGTTAACAAAGATTCATTGGTCTAGAAAAGAAACTGTTGAAGGAATTCTATGACTGAGATATGTAAAAAATTAAATAACAGAGAAAGGGGTTAAAAACCAGTGGTTCACCTGGCATTTTCACATAAGAAGCAGGGGTATTGATTAGAAGTAAAAGACATAGGCTAAAACCAGGGAATTAATGTGTTAGGCTATATAACCAACTGCTCCATGAAGCACCTATGCCAGAAGTCACCAGAAGTGCAGGCAATATTCCCTAGAAATAACTTTACATATTTCCTCTGTTGCATTCCCTTGAGAGCATCTTCTGGGAACCAGCTTTTTGGCTGGATGGCTCTTTGGTCTGACCCAGTGTAGTGAGCTGTCTGACTTTCAAGGCATTTCTCCACAAAACAGCTGCTGTTGCTCATCTTGAAAACTCTTCACATCATTCCTCCAAAGGACTAAAATAGAGATTATCTCTGTAATCACAGCTTTTGTGCTCTCAGTCATTTTATACCTTCAGTTTTCTGCTGAGGTCACCAACAATGTTGCCAATTAATGCCAATTTGCTTATAACACCTGCATATTAAGAAATGGATTGAACACAAAACCCTCGTTTTTGACAGAACAGTGAACAAGAATCAAGTTTTAATGACATATAATCACTACCTACCTGGGACAGCTGTGTACTGTTGACGTGGAGGAGGTCCTGACTGTATCCTATTAGCAATCACTGACCTATGAATGACACTTTAGGCAAGTGCTTTAGTGCTTTCTTAAACACCTATGTAACTAGTCATTATGGTGCAACCAAAAAGTCTTTCAAGAGGTAGAATAAGTCCATAAAGTCCACTACTGGAGAGATGTAATCAGACCTGTCTCTATAATTACATTTCTACTAAGAGCATAGGAAGGAAGGGAAAAGATCCCAGATGGCTGGGACTGTCAATTTTTTCCTCTTTTTGTGACATATAATTTGCAGAGTTTGGGAAACTCAGTTATCTTACCTTACTTTCTTTTAAACTGTCATTGATTTTAAATCTCTGCAAGAGAAATATTGTCATCGGAAGAAAGTCTTTCTGAACCTTCTCTAGTAATTTAATTTCCAGCTAGGGCCCTACCTTGAAAGCAGCCACAGTGTTATTTTAAGTTGACATAGCTTTTTCATTAAACATGGGCTTCAGGAAGGCTGAAGATGAGTTAATTTACATGGAATCACAAATACTCAGGGTCACATTACTCAGCAGGATTAAGCTTGGTTTTAAATGTATTTTTAATGTCATATTACAGTTTCCGCTTTGCAGAAAGCCAATGATGATCTTTGGAAGTATCCAAGGTCAGGCTGAGTGGGGCTTCGACCAGCAATCATCCTGAGTGCTACCATGTGGCACATGCAGGACAACCACCTGATCAGGTACAGCCAGCATGGGTTTAGGAAAGACAGGTCCTGCTTGACCAGCCTGATCTTCGATTACAAGACCTAGTGGATGAGGAAAAGGCTGAGCATGTTATCTATATTTACCTTCAGTAAAGCTTTTGTTACTGTCTCCCACAGCATTCTCTTGGAAAAGCTGGCAGCCCGTGACTCGGAGATGTGCACCTATCACTGGGTGAAATCTGGTTGGATGTCTGGGCCCAGAGCATGCTGGTGAATGGAGTTAGACCAGCTGGGAGCCAGACACAAATTGTGATCCCCAGGGCTCAGTATTTGGGCCAGTCCTGTTTAACATCTTTATTGGTGATCTGGAGGAGGGGATCAAGTGTACCTCCAGTCAGTTGCAGAGGACACTAAGCAGGGTGGGAGTGTTGTCTGCTGGAGGGTAGAAGGATCTGCAGAGGGATCTGGACAGACTCTATCCATCGTATGAGGTTCAACAAGGCCAAGCACCAGATCCTCCACATGGGTCATGATGGTCCCCTGCCATGCTGGAGGCTGGGGGTAGAATCACTGGAAAGGTGCAAAAGGACCACGGTGTCCTGGTTGAGAGCTGAACATGAGCCTGGGTGTGCCCAAGGATGACGGCTGGAGAAAAGGCAGCTCTGAGGGGATCCTTATCACTCTCTACAGCTACCTGAAAGGAGGTTGTAGCTAAGTAGGGGCTGGTCTCTCCTCTCAAAAAACAAGTGACAGAACAAGAGGAAATGGTCTCAGTTGTACCAGGAGAGGTTTAGGTTAGATATCAGGGAAAACTTCACAGAAAGGTTGTCAAGCATTGGAACAGGCTACCCAGGGAAATGATTGAGTCACTGTCCTTGGAGATCTTTAAAAGATATGTGAACAGGGCACCTAGAGACATGGTTTGGTGCTGGACTCGGCCGTTCTTGGTTAAGTTCAGGTTGGATTAGATGATCTTAGAAGTCTTTTCTAACCTAAATATGTCTATGATTGTACCGTTTTATGA